CCCCCCCACCCCCCAACACCCCCCCCCCCCCCCCCCCACCCCCCCCCCCCCCCCCCCCCCCCCCCCCCCCCCCCCCCCCCCCCCCCCCCCCCCCCCCCCCCCCCCCCCCCCCCCCCCCCCCCCCCCCCCCCCCCCCCCCCCCCCCCCTCCCCCCCCCCCCCCCCCACCCCCCCCCCCCCCACCCCCCCCCCCCCCCCCCCCCCCACCCCCCCCCCCCCCCCCCCCCCCCCCCCCCCCCCCCCCCCCCCCCCCCCCCCCCCCCCCCCCCCCCCCCCCACCCCCCCCCCCCCCCCCCCCCCCCCCCCCACCCACCCCCCCCCCCCCCCCCCCCCCCCCCCCCCCCCCTCCCCCCCCCCCCCCCCCCCCCCCCCCCCCCCCCCCCACCCCCCCCCCCCAACCCCCCCCCCCACCCCCCCCACCCCCCCCCCCCCCCTCCCCCCCCCCCCCCCCCCCCCCCCCCCCCCCCCCCCCCCCCCCCCCCCCCCCCCCCCCCCCCCCCCCCCCCCCCCCCCCCACCCCCCCCACCCCCCCCCCCCCCCCCCCCCCCCCCCCCCCCCCCCCCCCCCCCCCCCCCCCCCCCCCCCCCACCCCCCCCCCCCCCCCCCCCCCCCCCCCCCCCCCCACCCCCCCCCCCCCCCCCCCCCCCCCCCCCCCCCCCCCCCCCCCCCCCCCCCCCCACCCCCCCCCCCCCCCCCCCCCCCCCCCCCCCCCCCCCCCCCCCCCCGCCCCCCCCACCCCCCCCCCCCCCCCCCCCCCCCCCCCCCCCCACCCCCCCCCCCCCCCCCCCCCCCCCCCCCCCCCCCCCACCCCCCCCCCAACCCCCCCCGCCCCCCGTCCCTCCCCCCCCCCCCCCCCCCCCCCCCCCCCCCCCCCCCCCCCCCCCAGTTATTCTACTGCTTTAATCAATCAGCTGACCAACCAGAAATTTACCTCATTGTTGCTAGTATTTTAATTCAGATAAAAATTACTCCGAATTATCTGTGAGACTCTTGTATAAACTACATTACACTAGTGAAGAGTAGACAGACAATGCTGTTTGGAATTTTAGGAAAACATATATTTCAACTGAAAATTTGATATGAAGCAAACTGCGGAAAATCTAACTGGAGTCTGAAAGTGGTCATGCTTATCTTAGATAAGGTATGAACAATAAAGTTCCTTAATATTAATAAAATATAGTATTAAAAAAACTTGTCGGTAAATTCCGGTAAAAAAAAAAGGTAAAAAAATGCCAACATGCTTAAGCGTTTGGTCCTGAGACTTACGGATGGTCATAGGAAACGCAAGTTTTACAGGAAATTATCTACGTCTCAATTGAAACGGCAACCCTGTGCCGTGGCAACTTCATGACAAAGGCTAGTACAGTTATGCAAGCAACCCATAAGGCTATCGGCGACAAACAGACACTTAAGCCGCATATATATATAGGGTGAAGTAATATCATCTCCTCGGAACGGCTGGCTACCGAGCTTAGCGAAGCACATCGTTGATTCCTCGGTCCTGGCATGCAATTTGACATCGGCTCGTGGGACTAATTAGCCGAGATATAATTAAAAACTATTCCACTTTCTTCTTGGGTTTTTCTATAGAGGATTTGGTACGTGCCAATTCTTTTCTCGAATGTCTACGGAACGGCGCGAGTTGAATTAAGAAGTGTTCTCGGATTCCAAAAAAAAATTCTCCGATCATCGATACCGTTCTATCTTGGACGACTTAAGCGGAGAGATTAATTAAAAACTACGAAGACGTTAATTTCCGCGCTCATTTTTCCGAGTGGCAACAATAAACTATCGGCGATAAACACTTAAGCCGCTTATATATAAGATATATATGCCTCTTAAAATAGGTTCAGGAAATTAAGTAATATACTAAAATTACAAAAATCCATGAATAAAGTACTAGAAGCATTTTGGCATTAAAAATCAAGAAAATATGTCTTCTTCCACTTCCTTAGAAAGTTTGCACGTAGTAACCTCTTGTCTAAGTCGTATAGTCCTGGCATGCTTTGACATAATTCAAGTAATGAAACGAAAATCCATTTGCTTTCATCGCTTCTATTTAAAATCAGTATCAAAATTTATCAAATTATCAAAATTTATCAATTTATCAAAATTAAATTTTACGGTCACTAAAACTGCGAATGTTTTTCGGTGGCTTTCCAGTAAATGTTGCATATAGAATATGAGAAGGAAATGTCCAAAAATTATAATGTATTTAAAATTTAATTTTAGCAATAATGAAAGATAGGATTAGGATTATTGAATTATGGCAAAGCACACGAGGGCTATGCAAAGGGGGGATGCCTTCTGGAGGACTTTCTAGGAACGGCTCGTTACACGTTACACATGGGAAACTACGAAAACGCCCAGCAGCCAGCCCGTTCGCGGGATTCGAACATCGACCACTACAGTGTTCACGCTTTACCGTTCGGCCGCTGGTGGGTCAATAATGAAGGAGAATTGACAGAATGAGCAAGGTTAACATTCGGCTGCAAATTAGCATTGCATAGCGAGTCTATAAATTTCAGATATAAATTTCAATTGTGCTCAAATTGTGCTATAAATTTCAGATATAAATTTATGTAAAAATCCTTAGACATATCATTATACATGTAACTGAATGGAGAATCTTGATAAGAAACATTTCGAACAAATCCAATTACTAGTTTCGCCAAGAACTAGGCTCAGAGCCAGGCTCGGAGAAAGGGTTATCTGGAAGATGCTAAAAATCTTTTTTAACATTTCAAATCAATATGCGCAATGTATGATATATTTCCAGATTTTCTAAAATTTATAATTTAAAACACTTAAAGGATTTCGGATTTTTTTGACAGCCAGATAAACTGGGTAATTTTTCTGTAACTTCATATCAAATGTTAATAATCGTTATATGTCCTTCAACTAAATCTACATTGATGGGAATGTAGAACAAAATCGACACATCAACTGAGAAAATCCTTTTCGATTTCACGTCATATTGAGTCTGTATGATTGTCTATCCTACTCAGGTAGCCTAAAAATAATAATTTAATAAATTATTAATAAAGAAAAATTATTATTTTTATTATTATTTTTAGGCTACCTGAGTTATTTTTAGGCTACCTGAGTAGAATAGAAATAATAATTTAATTAAATTAATTTCCGTTTAATTATACGAAGTTGCTAATTGTTAGCTTCGGCTGTACTCTAATAACGTCGATTGCACCCTTGTGTCTATTCTACGCTGGCTGGATACTACGCCGGTGTCTACCATAAGCCTGTGTCGATTCTATGTCGGTGTTGATTTTACAAAGTGTCGTCTCAGTGTCTGCTTTGATCTTATACTGGTGTCGGTTTTGTACTTTGCTCTGCCTGTGTCAAGCCTATACCGACGATGCTTTTTACACAGCTAGGGCCCTATGTGTGTTAGACTTTACGCAGTATCAGTCCTATTCCCGGGCGCTGATCCTATACCAGTGTTAGTTTATGTAATGTGTTTCTTTTTCCAGTACAGTGTTGCCACTGCTCGCTTTGAAATCGTTGAGCTTTTTAATAAAAAATTCTTTAAAGCTTTATGAAATATGACATAGATAATAAACAAATTCAAAATTAAAAATTCAGGATTCCAGGTGCCTATATTTAGATGGAGGACTACATTATTCAAAATCTGAAGATTCTAAGTATGGTTGATTTTTTACAATGCGGGAAGCATACGTACATTCATTCAGATTGTTCATTATTTAATTTCCATAAATTAAATGCAGGGAGGTAATATTTGGTGGTAGCTATTTGATAAATGATACAGCCATTTACAATGATTCGACACAAATGCTGTTTCGTGGGCCGTATAGACCTTGTGGGCTAACGCCCCTTTGGGTTAACAATAGATGCCTTCCGAGGTGTAATTAAAAAAAAAAAAATCCAATTATCTCGTTTCTTTATTGAACGCAAACATGCTGATGCCACCTGATAAAACATATTTTTTGCCTTTTAAATATAATTATCAAAGGAAAGGAACATATCGTTGTAATTAATACATTGCAGCAGAATGTTCTCGTCATCCGTATGTTTTATATTTGATGCAGACGATAGGATGCAGAAAGGAACATTACATAAAATCCTGCAGCTGAACAGATAACAGATAAGACATTTTATATTACTCACACGTTGTTCTCATCATATTTCGGTTAATCTTCGGATTATGGTAACTTGGCGTTTTTTTGGCTAAATTTGGCGACCAATCCTGCTACAGCAACCTGCTAGTTTTTTTTTTTGGACGCCATTTTGTTTTCACGAAGTAAAGGCATTTTTTTTTAACTCAACATTTTTTTTTCCAACAATCTGCTAGCCGAATTACGCTTATGCTAGAACTTTTATGGAACAAAAGTGCTTAATCATGACGAAGATTAGGTGCGAAATTGGGAGAAAGTGCAGAATCGCCCACTGCTTGCCGCGTTTTTAAGAATTGCACATACACGGTATCCATGTACACGTCGACCTATTTTCACTTAAAAAAAATCCCAGAATTGCACAAAAATGGCATTGCGCACACTCTTGACTTTATCCATGTACATTGCTTAAGTCCTAGCTCGTAACCTTACTAAAATTACCAACTTACTAAAACCTTACTAAAATTTCTAAAATTACCGCCAAACTACCTGTTACCATATTCCAAAGATTAGCCCATATTTCTCTTTCTGTGACGAGTTAAGAAAACAAGGTAAGGATTCAGCGCATATTTCGTTTCTTGAACTAGCATGAAAAATATTGCATGAGGCTGCAGTTTGGAACTAGGTTACGGTATGTATTTACCTGCTAAACAAAAACGCTGACTTTTACTTGGCTTGAGCTCTGATATTGTGTTTTAAGTATATTTTGGTATTTTCGTTGATTACATATGTTATTTAAATAAACATTTGCAAGCCAGGAACACGATATTGACACTTATAATATTTTTATTTATATAAAAAAAACTACTGGTTAAGTTTTTTTTTGTAAAAAATATTTTTAACAATTACTTACTTTACCACTAAAGTAAGGAATGTAAATAATATTTCATAGCAATCGTGCAGTCAAGCCGTAACGGCAGATTATGATACAAAATTCTTGGTTTTCTTAAAGCAAGCATGCGTGCCCTTTATATTCTATTGACGGTCATAAGATTTCACGCGTTTTCACACTCAGCTAAACCATAACAACTCGCATTAATTCGTGGTCATACTTTACTCCTGTACGTCATCTGTTATGCAAAAGCAAAGAGGGAGGGTTTAAAGGTTCAAAGCGACACTATTGTGACGAATCGCTATCAGTCAACAATCTGCATTGAGACTATGATAACAGTGTTTGCTGCCCAACTGTCGTACTTCAGTCTGATAAAATCTGTGGAAGAGACAAGGAAATGATTTAATAAAAACACAATGCGTTGAACCATGTTGTAAAAAATACCGAAGTTATGCTTAAAACTTAGGTGAAATTTAGGTAACTGTTTATTCTACAAAAGACAAGTTTATTGAAAATAAATATAATTTTGGATTGAAGATCGTTTGGAAAAGCGCTAATGAAGATGGCAACCAAAAACATAATTACTTTCATTGCTTCCTGGCACCATATTTGATGAAAGCTGGGTATGTGTACCAAGGTATTTATCCTTACGATTTTATTTTTGTAAAATTTTCTAGTTTAAAATAATATTATGGTCATTGCTTCATTATATTTTGCACTCAGTATGCATGTTACTGAAATTATATGTAGACATACTGTGAAAATCTAGAACTATGAAAGTGTTTCTTTGGTGCTTCCCCTGAAAGATTACGAGCAAAGGCTTTCTCGTCAACTTGGAAAAATAACCTTGGCGAATATTGAAGTAATTTTTGAGAAGAATTTCTTTGGCCATTCCCCGTGAAAGATTATAAGCAAAGATATTCTTGGCTGCTTGAGAAAAAAACCTTGACGAAAATTGGAGTAATTTTTGAGAAAACAACCTTGGCGAATTTAAATAGAAGCCAAAAGTACGAGAAGTATTGCTGTTTGACGGCTATTGGAAAAGCAGTTTACGCTAGCTGAAGTTTAAGTTTTCAGTGCAACTTCCTGGTATTTCTAAAACTATTCGTTTTGATCAACAAGAAGTTTGTTTGCACCAATCAAGCATTTAGTTTTTGAATGACTACAGTTCAACAGTAATTTAATGTATTAGATGTCTGCCTGTTACGTTGATGCATCCTGAAATACTGAATCGTCGTGAAAATATATATAGTGCAAATCGCCGTGTGTACTCCTTAGTGTGTTTTGTGGAGAATATGACTTTGTGAAAAATCATAGCAACAGAAGACTGTGCTCGTTAGTGAATATCGTAACGTCGTCCTAAGCCTTCGTGATGAAGAAAGCCAAAACCTTCAAGGTTCGGAAATTTAATAAGCGATTCCGTAACGCGTTTTTGGCTATAATTGCATGTACATATTTTTGTTTTGTATTCGCTATAATTTTTTCCAAGTACGAGAGGAAGACTATTACTTTCCACCAAAGAAAAGATGAGGAATTTCGCGAAGACGCCGAAGCAATTGCGTCTTTCAGTACTGTTGTCCAAGGATCATTGAACTATGCAAGATTCAGACGCATTTTTGAAGGATTAGGAGTCCCTTCGAATCGTTCTGCAGTGCAGATCATACCGAAGATGCACAGCAATTACTCTGACGGACTTAGTACAGATGAACAGTGCTTCAATATTTATTCTAAATTAAGAAACTGCCGTAAACGAGCTTGCGGGAGGATACCTATATTGAGCGGTAAGTAACTATTTCTGTATGAATTCTTCTTTTGAGGCAGGGTATTTTGAAATTCGATTCATATGATGTTTTAAAGTATTTATAAGCAAAAATATTATTAAACAATAAAACTGAATATTGCTGCTGTATTACCAGGAAATTTCTACTGTTTTTCCCATTTTCCTTTATGAAAGATAATTTTAGCAGGTATTTTAAGCGTAAAATAAAAACTGTGTCATCTGATAGCCAGAAATTGGGAATTTATATGGCTTAAATTAATGCTCGATTGATGTTTAGTTTAAATTAATTTTTCAAACTATTAAAACGTTCTATGAAGCAATGCGATATTTTAAATTTTTAAGAAAACTGGCGGCATTCAAATTTTTCGTTAGTGATATGCTATAACTAAGTATGCTTTTCTGTAACAAAAGTATCCTATGTATACTATTTCAGAAGAGAACAGGATTACGCATGATAATACTGCATTACTGTTGTTGTTTTAGCTATTTATCATGTTAAGCACTTTACTATCGTCGGTTAATCTACCAGTAACTTCTGAAACTGGGAACACAATCTAGAAAAAAGCTGTTAAAATACTGAATTGAATAAAGAAAATAAAAATTAGCCTCAGGAAATAAGTGAATGGATATTAGTTAAGACGATTAAACTAGCATTTTAGCTTAAAGGCAGTTAGTAGTAAACTAGTATTTAAGCTAAAGTTAGTAAAAACTAGTATTTAAGCTAAAGTTAGTAAAAACTAGTATTTAAGCTATAGTAAAAACTAGTATTTAAGCTAAAGTCAGTAAAAACTAGTGTTTAAGCTAAAATTAAGAAAATTGGCAACTTTCCACCAATTCCTGTTGCTAATTTTCATACAGTGCGTTTTGCTAAGCATTAGCAACACATAACGTGTTGCTAATGTTTATTTTACATTTACTTATATTCTAATGTTAGTTGTTAGCAACACGCACTGTGTGAAAATTATTTTACACCGATTTCTGTTGCTAATTTCCTAAAAGAATAGCTTTTAAGATTGTATCTTGAATGTTTAATTTGTATATCTATGTTACTAGATTTAACATTACGAAGCACATTTGAAGGAAGAGGTAAAAGCGTGTAAAAGTGAAACAAGCAAATTCTGTATTTGAAATCGATACTGATTTGGGATCCTTATCATAGCAATAGTAAATTTCTTTTGTAGTAAATAGTACTTGATGTATTTTAATCAATACACAAATGTCTTATGGGCAACTGTAAGTGCATTCAGTGTAATTTAAATGTAAAATAGGAAACAATTATTGGTTTAAAAGCATAGCGCTCTAATGGCAGAATTAGATCTGGCAGTCACCTATGAGCAATGCTATTTAAAATACGTATAAACGTGATAACAAACTGCTTTATTCAATTTTTCCGAATCATTTTAAAATTAGGTGGGAAGTAATAATTCACACTGCAAGCTTCATAAATATTTATTCAAATCAGCGGTATGTTTTCTATAGTATTTAATATCGAATTACTGTTAATGTAATTAAATACGTTTTTATGTTATGATTTTATTACGTCTGAGATAATGTGAACTGCTCGAAGTTTCGCAAGAATATTTTGTTAAAAAGCAGGTGTTGTTGTTTGTCAATTAAAACCGTTAAATTATTGGTTGTCGGTTTCAAATTTCGGATACCTCAAGATTCGTGTATCTAATTTTTTTATTTTGTAACAGATTTATATGTAATTATTTTATTACGTCTCAGGTAATGTGAATTGCTTAAAATCTTCTTCGCCAGAATGATTTATTTTGTTAAAACGCAGATGTTTGTCAATTAGAGCGGTTAAATGATTGGTTGTCGGTTTCAGAGTTCGGTTACCTCAAGATTCGTGCATCTTAGTATGTATTTTGTAACAAGTTTTTATGTAATTATTTTGTTACGTCTTAGGCAATGTGAACTGCTTAAAATCTACTTCGCAAGAATGATTTATTTTGTTAAAACGCATATGTTTGTCAATTAGAACGGTTAAATGATTGGTTGTCGGTTTCAGATTTCGATTACCTCAAGTTTCGAGCATCTTAGTATGTTATTTTGTAACAAGTTATGTAATAATTTTACTACGTCTGAGGTAATGTGAATTGGTCGAAATCTACTTCGTAAGAATTATTTAGTTTGTTAAAACGCACGTTTGTCAATTAAAAAGGTTAAATTATTGGTTGTCGGTTTCAGATTTTGAATACTTCAAGATTCGTGCTTCTTATTTTGTAGCAAGCTTTTATGTAATGATTTTATTGCATCTGGGTAAAATCCTAGTATACGGTGCAGCCTTGGCGCGATTTTGAAAATTATCGCCAACACCAAAAATGATCCAAAGAACTCTAGATACATATATACTATGTGTGTTCTACATAATATAACTGTATTAACTAATTATATTCTTGAATGACCCGTTACGCCATCGTTTGTCCCGTTTTTATGCGCATCATAAAGTCGCCAAACCCTTTGGGCCCGATACTGGATTAAACCAAAAACTTATATATATTATATATATATATACTATCACCATATATATACTATGTTTAACTGTATTTTTCTTTGAAGGCCCTTAGCTACGCGCGTAATGTCCCGTCATAAAGTTGCCAAAAGTAGCCAAATCCCGTGTGCACCGGATAATAGGATTAAACCTTGCATCTGAGATAATGTGAACTGCTCGAAATCTAGTTCGCAAGAACGGGCAAAATCCTAGGAGAACCCCTTGGACCCTTGGCGACAAACGGGGAAAGTGCGGACTGGTTCGCGCGTTTCTGAAAATCGCCAGGTTGAAAAAACAGGTCAAAGAGGTTCACATACTCTATCCATGACATCGACATATCTTCACTTAAAACAAATCAGAGATTGACTTTGTCCATGTACACATCCGCGCCATAAATAAAATCATTCAATCAAGGGTGTGGACTCTGCTAGGATGCGACCGCAAAAATGATTTATTTTGTTAAAACGCACATGGTGCTTGTTGTTTGTCAATTAAATCAGTTAAATGATTGATTATAGGTTCAGATTTTGGATACCTCAAGATTCGTGGATCTTAGTATCTTATTTTGTAACAAGTTATATAATGATTTTACTACGCCTGAGGTGATGTGAACTGCTCGAAATCTACTTCGCAAGAATGATTTATTTTTGTTAAAATGTACATGTTTGTCAATTAAAACGGTTAGATGATTGGTTGTTGGTGTCAGATTTCAGATACCTCAAGATTCGTGCGTCTTTATTACCTTTGTAGCATTTATGCAATGATTTTATTATATTTCAGATAATATGAACTACACGAAATCTACTTCACAAGAATAATTTATTTTGTTAAGACGCGCATAGTGTTTGTACTTTGTCAATTAAAGTGGTTAAATGATTGATGGTCGATTTTATATTTCGGATGCCT